TAATAATAATAATAATAATAATAATAATAATAATAATAGTAATAATAATAATAATAATGATAATAATAATAATAATAATAATAATATAATAATAATAATAATAATAATATTTTTGATTTTAGTGCTGCTGTTAGCTTTGTTGTCGCTGAGCATTTTGGAGAAGCTGTAAAGCTGGAAGCTATCACTGAAGCTGCTAAATTCGGCAGAATGTCAGGTAGCAGTTTTTAAGGTTTTCATTAATAAGAAAAAAAATGAACAAATAATTGCCCATAATAGATTACAATTTAACCCTAAACTTCGTGGGCATCGAAAGAATTTTTAAAATGTTGTTTTGTAAACCTACTAATAATAATATGCTGCAAATATTTCGTTTATTAATTGAATAATTATATGGAGCTCTTTAAACCTGTTCCTACATATTTTTCATGGCTATTTATTTATTTTTAAATTATTGAGATTTAGGATTAATTATAAAAAACCATTGAAAAATTGTCAAAATGACATTTTATAAATTTGTTTGATGTCTCCGAAGTATTGGATTAAACTGTAAAAAAAAGAGGAAAATATCTCAAATGTGATATTATCAGGTTCTGGAGATGCTGGATGTCAATTAATGGAATGCCAGCTGTTTGACGGTCAATTAAGAACAGTTACTGACTACCTAGCCGGGGTTGAAGAGATTCTCGGCTATATTGTAAATTCAGTCTCAACATCAATTGGTTAAACTGCCCCTACCCCCCTCTCCTTCTCTACCTCCCTCCCCCCCCCCTTCTCCTTCCCTACCTCCCAAATTGTTAGACCAGACTACAGACCTCATTAGAAAGTCGTCTGAAGTAAAAAAAATGTTAAACATTAAATCGAATCTCAAAATCTGTGGTGCAAGAAATTTTCAAAACGAGCGTTATTTTATTATCTGTTTTGTCAAATCATTACTTTCTGTTCTGAAAAAAAACGACACTTTTATGGCCCCTACGGTCCTTTTCTATATCACATTATTTCCATTTAGAAAATAAAATACTCATTATTCTTGTTAAATATGTTTCTACTGTAAACCTGTCTTCCGATATCTAATAAATTTATAAAAACAAATTTGTCAAAAATTGTAGGGAAAAAAACTAGTTTGAAATATTGAAGGGCTATGGCATTGGGTTGAAAATATGTAAGGATTAGAAAAAATCCTTTGTTTTCGTTGCAGAAAAGTTGAGCTTGATTGGTTGGATTTGCGGATGCCAAGAAATAGGAGGACTGAGTAAACCACAAATTTTCTAAATTTTCAAATTGTGGAAAAGTGTTCGATGGTAATTTAGAATGGTTAAACACATTAGTTGAAATTAATTTTACTGTTCTAAATTGAAGAGAGTCGTGTTTTAACAATTTCAGTACACATCCAGTTTTATCGGTAGGAGGTAGAAACAAAGAGAATAGAATATATTAGAGTGGAATTTACTATAAAAAAGTGTAAAACGGCCGTTTTGTTGTACTGTTTCCATACTGCAGGTGTACTTCACATATTTGTGCTATTTAATCTTTTGGGCACTGGAACATCATTTGATAGAAAATCTAAAATTAATATTAAAAGAAAACCAAATTATGAAATAGGCTGGTTTCATAATTGACCAATGATCATTTCACATAGACTCTATGCCTTTCACTTTACAAACGATGATTTTCCGTTATAACTATAAATCAAATGATGTTTTTTATTCACCTAATTCATTTTATAAAGTTTATTTAACAGCTTTAAAACATTCGAAATTGAAATGGATAGTCTAGGGAACATACTGTATTATGTACTCTACTGCATACAATTTGTGAAAATTTACATGATTTGTACACTTTAAACTCCCTTCCAGGCTGAAAGGGACTGACAAAATTCATACCGTGGGATTGTCTAAATTCCACTCTAATATATATTCTATTCTCTTTGGGTAGAAATAATGTAACTGTCATTTGTCAGTGACACTCAAGTTTAGACACATTCAAACACAATACAAAGTTTTACCATAAGGTTTAAGATAAACTTTTAAGTGAATAGGGTCTGTGTATACCGCACAATTCCTGGGTTTCATGTTTTTTGAACTTTTCAACATCAAAACTTGAGTCTTAAAGGGAGTGACCGGCTATGTAAGGTAGTTGAACTGAGTATGCAGTGTTGTGGGAAACTTCTTTCGGATTCATTTGAGAAATATTAAACTTTTTAAAGATCTGTAAATCCTGAGTTTGAGTGCAAATTCGACGTTCAAAATTCCTACGTGGATACGTTTTCAGAATAAGTTTTTTAAATCATTGAATAACGACGACATAAAATGTAAAAAGGTTCTACAATAAACTACAGACGTCATTTATAGGAACATGTTTAGAAAATAAAAATTAATCTTATCATCGAAAATAAGTAATCTTGTTCAATTATTAGTTTCTATTTTCTCATTATTCTGGTTTCTCATTATTCAAAAAGATTTTCGCAGATTTTCTAGAATTATTATTGAAAAGACGACTTTTGAAGAACTTGAAGAAATCTGCGAATAAATTCAAAGAAGATAAGAAATTCAATATAATAATGAAAACGAAATAATCGACTTAGCATTGATTTATTGACAAATTTCTTTTGAGAAATATGTTCCTAACCATCTAATTAGTTTACTGTATAATTTTTACTTTATTATTCGATGTCGTCACATGACAGTCTAATAACATTTGCCATGTTTAGATCAATTATAAACATGAGTTAATGCATTCAAATGAACAACTGAACAAAACTGCTCTGTATGAAATGCATGTATGTTATATGTCACATGTATCCTAAATAAATTAACGGCTATAACTTTCCCTTCAATCTCTTTTATTAGCTAGATCATATCCATGTAGATATGATTATTATGATCAAAATGTAATTAAATCGTCAACCTGAAATGAAGAAAAGATTTTTTTATCCAATAACTAGCTTGGAAACCCAGCGCTGCCCAGGTTACTAAAAGTTACTCCCGCCGTTTACTAAATTTTCTCTTTTAAAATCGACCAACTCAACTTAGAATCTCAAAACTAAGCTAAGAACATTCCCGTGGGTCTACCGAGTTCCCTAATCAAAATTTGAAGTAAATCGGTCCAGGGGTTTCTGAGTTAGGATCGGACAAACAAACAGACAGACACCAAGACAAACAAAGATTACTACTTTATGTATTTAGATATCGCTCTCATTTTTTCAAAAATCACCCTAAACATTTTTTGTTTATCCTTAAACGCCCCCCCCCCTGTTTTTTTCGCCCTCGCACTTTAACTTTCTCACTATCCCCATATAATTTTGTTATTTAAAGTATTTTTTTAATATTTTTTTTAATGCAAGGGGGTACAGGGCGGCTAAAAGTCCGGTCCGTGTTCAAAAGAATCTAAAAAAACATTTTTGTGACTAAAGCTGCGTAGATCTAAAAACTAAATTTTTGAAAATGAATAAAGAAACTTGTGTCACATCTTCATATTTGTCCAAAACCCCTTTTTTATTATTTTATTCGACCTGTTTTTCTACCCTCCATAGCATCCAAACTATGTTAGCGGCAGCGGTCTAATTTTTTTTGATGAGCTGGTCTTGAAAAATTGGGCTTTGAACATGTATTTTAGCCTTACACCTATAATCTAAGGCCTTTTTAGGGGCACGTCTAACCCCCCCCCCCCCCCAGTCTATATATAGATTCAGACCCCCCAGCCTTTATAGGGTTAAAGAAATTGATATCCGATATATTATAGCTTGGGGCGTATTTCTTTAACTTTTAATGTTTTGGGAAAAACACAAATTTATAGCTTGTGAAGTTTCTTCTGTTTCAGTAAAAGTTTAGATACTTTTATTACTTTTATTTCATATTTATCCAAAAAGAAAATGTCTTCGTCAGGGTCAACATTTGGGAATGTGAAAGGAAAGCAAATTTTTAGATGATACAGGGTGTCCCCAAAAAACATGGGAATTCAGTGACGAATTCGATATCATCTTTGTTATTAATTATCATTGTAATACCTAATTTCAAAAGCCATGATATTATTATGTCTGCTAGAGTTTACTTTATGAAAAGGGTAAAAGACTGCAAAGATGTGTCTATAATGTCTCCGCAAGATGAACAGTGAAGACGGACAAGTTTACTCTGTTTGTATACTGCAATTTTTTACTAAGTACAACCGTATGCAGTCATACATAAACAAACAAATTTTAAACATAGCATGCGAAACTCTAACAGATTACAGCTTTCTCAGTAGTTATCACTATACTTAATCAAAGAATTATTTGAAAAGACGATATCGAATTCGCTACTGAATTCCCATGTTTATTGGGACACACTATAGCAATATTTCTCAACCTTTTATGAACTTTTAAAAGGTTCATTTTGAAAAAAAAACTAAACATATTAAGGGCTATCACTACGAAATAAATTGTTGGACATCTGGAGGTTGCTTTTAGAGAATTTGAAATAAAACAATTAATGGAAACAATAGAACTACTTTTTGTTTATCGAAAATATGCTTGAAACTGAGATTAATTAAAACCATCAAGCATTTTCATAAATGTTTAATTTTAGGAAATATTGTTTTATGCTGCATTTTTATGTGAATCTAGTTTACAGGTTTGGTACGTGCCACGTGGGTTTTCATCAAAATATAGTTGGTGGAAGGTTGAACCAGACCAGATTAGAAATAAACGATGGAGACCACTTTTTCAGTAAATATATTTCGACATTTCTATAATGTCCTCGATCAGTTCTAAAAGAAAAACAATATCAAATATTACAGAATTATTTAAACAAAAAAATATATGAATACAATTTATAACAATTTATAAGAATTTACCAATAGGTTATAGATAAGATTTGAAAACTTTGTAAATCAATATGAAATGGGGTGGAGGGGGGGGATATGAGTCGAAAGGATATATGGAATTAAAAAGGGGGGGGGAAGAAAGGAACTTCTTTATCTTGAGCTAGGATTTAATACTAGTTTGAACTAGAAATTCAAAAACACGTATCTACACATCACAATGAAAATGTTTAACAATGATAATGTTAACAAAGAAATAACCCTTTAAAAGTTTTAACATGGTTTTAGCTGACCCTCCATGTGAAGTGTGGTCTGATTAACATTAGTACCCTTTAAACTGACTGACTGATCAAGGAGGACTTGCTTATTATTTTTTATCTAACGGAAACGTTTGTAATTGTTGAACACTTTGTTTAAAGGGAGTGTTCGCGAAAAATTAAAGGGGGTATAGACTTACGGCGAAAAATAAGTACTTTTGATCGCTACTAATCTTACTTCTATCTTTTGCGTCTATAAGGATAAAATTGTTAAAAACGACTAATGCTGAAGAACGTAGCGTCCATACAAATTCAGAAAGTTGTGACATTCAACTCGAATCGTAAAATAATCAATTTAATTCCAAACAAATCATTCAGATATTACAACCAATAGTTATCGATTATTTTTCGACGCAATTTCAGAGATAAATACACGTAGTTCTCTATCCTCAGTCAAAGGTTTACAGGGTACCGTTGTAAATCGGTCATTTTATGGAGGGTTTTCTTGAAATTGCTATTACAGTCTCTTTAAAGCATCGCAAAGGAATTGAATCTTTGCCACAAACTATGATTTTCCAATCCCAATATCTTTATAACCCAATGTCGAAAACCTTAGATTTTTCAAACTATAAATTTCAAACGATCAAGTAATCAGAGTTTGAAATACCAAAGGTTTACAGCATCAGGTTATAAAGATATAGAAATTAGACAATTTGAGTTTGTGGCAAAGACTCAATTCCTTTACCTTGACAACACATCTGTATCGAAAATAATTCAACCAATTATTTTGATCAATTACAAATATATACAATTGTTAAAGATTTTCTACGATATTTGAATATTATTTTCTTTGTGAACATTTATATGACGTAAATATATAATTTATAGTAAATATTAAAATATTATTTCCAAATCCAAAAGTTATGACTTCACTTCAACTGGAGTTTTTAATACTATAAAATTATAATTGTCTGTAAGTTTATTTAACCGTGGAAAAAATTCAAAAATAATTTTTATTATCCAGTTAAATCAATTAAT